AAGAAGGTGCTGTCTTACGAATTATTACTTGGAGAACAAACATAATGCAAGGTATCTAGTTGAAAATGAAAACCGCGCTAAAGAAGAGGAATTAATAATAATAATAATAATAATAAAAAAGGTTCCGATAGACTCAATGAAGGGATTCCTGGTAGCCCAGGCCTTAAAGAAATACAAAACAATTGAACTCGCAAATTACGATGAGCTTTATTTGTGTAAAATATATGTGATCTTAGTTTTTTTTTCTTTTTTTTTAAAAAGGGTAAGTGGAAAATGTCATGAAGCCATTTGTGGCCTAATAATAATAATAATATTTATATTTGGTGATGAACTGTTTATTCTGACGTTCAGCAGCAAATATATATATATATATATATATATATTTGGTTGGATTGATGTGAGTTTGAGACCCTGGGTTTCACGCTTTTGCGATCGTCAGACAACGAAATGGACTAAGCCTCACAGTGTTTGTCTGACGATCGCAAAAGTGTGAAACCCAGGGTCACAAACTCACATCAATCCAACTAAATATGATAGCTCTATCTCTGCTATTGAATGCTTTCTAATAAGAACAGCGCATATAATATATATATAAATATATATATATATATATATATATATATATTCATATTTATATACAGACACTTTTCACACACACACACACACACACATATATATATATATATATATATATATATATATATATATATATATATATAGTTCATCGCCTCTGACCCCGAAATAGGCGAGCAACTCATGCGTAGTGACTCTGAGTCTGTCACCAGTAGGGAGTTTAACCGAGACAATCTGAAGCAAATTTCAACGGACCCCCTACTAACAAAATATCCAGTGTGGTGATGACACGCTCAGACCAGATACCAGGTTCGTTCGCAAGGTGCAACTGTTTCTAGTCGAACGCTTGTGACCTAATACTAGGAATATAATTCTCTGGCCTGATGTTTATCTCCCAAAGACCACGAGATGAAAGTGTATCAGTCGGCATATTTTATTCAGTTGCAACCTTCTCGTAAGTGCAGGCTGTAGGCGATCGAGGAAAAGGGAAGCAAGTTCAAAGGGGAAAATGATCTAATCAGTATGTGCCTTCCTTTTGTGTGGTGGGAGAGAGGTTTTCTGCTTTAGGATGCTAGAGACCACTGTCTTATAGGGAACAATCCTTCTTTGTCCTGTCAGCTTTTGTCTAAAAACGTCGTTCATCAAGAATTCATCGAGATTATTGACCTACTCAGCTGACCTACTTTCTCAAGGTCGGCAGACTTGGTTATTGTGAGGTCCGCTCCACCCAGCTGACCTTCATTGTCAGTATCGATAGAGCTAGAATTCCAGCCATGCTCAACTCGCAAATCTCAGAATAAATGCTACTGCCCTTCAAACAGCACAAAAAATATATCTTAAACAAACACATAAAACCACCCCTACTTGGAAATGGCTAAAGAAGTGTCAGAAAAAGCTTGAGACAATGTAAGAATGAAGGAAAAACTAGATAAAATGTCATCAAATTTGTCTGTCATATTCGACGAAACATGTTTGAAAGAAAGGTTTATACCTATATATATATATATATATATATATATATATATATATATATATTAAAATTAAAAATTTTTTTTTTTTTACAAAAGTTCTAACCATGTTTCAAAAACGGAAGCTAAAAGCCACGAATTTAATTTTGCAATTAAATTAAAGACATTAGTTCCATTTCATCCTCAAGCGAATTTTGGAGTAACTTTCAAAATTACTGGGTTTTTTAGTGCTCTGTAAATTTACATTGAGCACTATTTTGCAAAAAATAAAAATATCTATAAGAACACCAGATTATATATCTTACTGTTCTTTCTTTTTATTTATACACACACACACACACACACACACACACATACACACACACACACACACATATATATATATATATTGTTTATACGTTATTTTTATAGATACATATGAATATTTAAGTAAATGCTCTGTTTATAATAAACAATATTAACAACATTTACCGGCCTGAATCCTGCACAGAGCCGTTATATAGCCTGACGTGCTATACCATTTAGCCACAAAGGAAGCGTCTGGTTATACGAAATGGACTAAGCCTCACAATTATATTAACGTATAATAAATACCGTATAACAATAAAATATATTAATACACACACACACACATACACATGCACCAGCTGCGATAGATAAATTGTCGTCTAAATTACGTAAAATGAAAATAACACTGACATCTCATTTTAACAGATATTTTTACCAAAATTACACAAAAATATCTTGAAATACTAAAGAGTAAATTTATTCAATAAAATCGACATCGTCTTCAACCGCAGTTTTCAGACAACTTCGGAATCTCCTGCAACTCTTCTGTACATTGTTTAAGTTGGTGAATGCTGTCATGATCCTTGTCTTCACTTCATCTTTGATGTTACTAGGAGTTTTGTTGGCCTCTCGCTCAACTGCGCTCCACACATAATAATCAAGCTGGTGGCACTCTGGACTAGATAAGTGGCCAGATGTAAGGCATGATGTGGTATGGTGCTGAGTCCTGTTACAGCACTACCTCCTCAAGACACTTAATATAGGCCTCCTTGTTGAGTCTGAGACTATTACCAACAAATTCAGGAGTTCTTTTCTTACCAGAACAATCAGAGTGAATTTTCTAGCTGCCTTTCCTTCGTAATCACCATTAGACCCATTCAACTCTTTACGAATCCTCTACACTGTCCTCAAATTTACACCCAAATTCTGAAATGTTCAGGAGTATCTCTTGCTCAACTGAACCCCATTTATTATAATCAAGGGTGTTGCAGAATCCTTTTTGCAAGACATAGGCTCTTCCAGCAGACACTCTCTGAACCCAGGGCAACACTACCTCCTCAAGGCACTTGATGTAGAACTCTCTGTGGTCTTGTGGGGATATGAATGGAGGCATAACGTCGCCATCAGCAGTGATCTCTCCAAACACCTTCGTAATCACCATTAGACTCATCCAACTCTTTCCGAATCCTCTGCACTCTCCTCAGTTTGAAACCCAAACACTCTAAAATGTCCGTATTGGATCTTCCGGTGCGAGTGCCCACCAGTAGAGCATGCGTTTCCTAATTTCTGGCGCAGTTTAAATGTGTCATGGTGTTCTTGTTCTCATAGATGGTGCCCAACTGACCCAACTATACTGTGCAGTCGACAAAATCAAAAACAAACAAATCACATGCGCGAAATTAAAAATATAAAACAGATATACTAAAGAAAGACATGTTTGTGTGTGTCTTTCAGTTTATCGCAGTTACAATATCATGTTTGCCTTTGTAATTTACCACTGAAGATGATCGTAGAAAAGGTCGAAAGTACTTGGGTATATATAAAAAAAACTAGGGACAATTCCTTGATGTATTTCATCTCAATATCAAGAAACTAATTAGAAAACGTAACAGGATCATTATAAAAATAACTATGTCAATATATTAAACAAACTGTTTAAATGAAATATATATATATACCTATATATATATATATATATATATATATATATATATATATATATATATATAATTAACGAATATCAAACACTTAATCCCATAGGTAATAATTTTTATTTCATGAGAGCTCTAAAAAAGCAGCTGTCAATCTTCAAGGCCTACAAACAAATCACCTGAATAAAACCGACTTACTTCGCGTTGGCTGAAATAGATCTATACACATATGAGGTAATTTTGTATTTTGTTGTGTAATATATATATATACATATATAGCTATTTTTTTTTTATTTTCTTTTGACTAAAAACTTAAGGCACCGGACGATTTGTTTCGCCCTGTTCGAATGTTTCAAGTTCTTTCCTTTTTTTTTTTCCAAAATTTTTTTCCTCGGGTACCAATTTGTTTTGATAGACTTACAAGTTGTGCTATCTGAGTTTTTTACCAACAAGTAATGCTTTAGTATATATATATATATATATATATATATATATATATATATATATATATGTCTGATTAAATAATTTACAGACATTTAATTTTAATGCAATTTATTTAATCAGACATGCCTAAAGAAGAATTTGCTGTCTAAATACACACACATACACACACACGCACATATACTTACTAAACTTTAGTAGGTACATATATATATATATATATATATAAAAACTATATATAGTAAGTACATATATATATATATATAAATACTAAACTTTAGTAAGTACATATATATATATATATATATATAGACTAAACTTTAGTAAGTACATACATATATATATATATATATATATATATATATATATATATATATATATATACTTACTAAACTTTAGTAAGTACACATATATATATATATATATTTACTAAACTTTAGTAAGTACATATATATATATTTACTAAACTTTAGTAAGTAATATATATATATATATATATATATATATATATATATATATTAAATATATATAAAAGTATTATATATATATATACTTATAAACCGGGCCTGGGCACATGGTGAGGATCATGATCACTAATTATGATCGTCGAGATCAACTTACAGACCACTGCTAAATTTCGATCAGTCTGGCACAAGGCCAATGTAAAGACGCACTTATGCCTACGAAAACCTTTCCTTCGGGTTACCTACTATCCATTCTTCACTTTTGACATATTTGTGGTTGACATTGACTACTGTTGTGAGTTGGGGATCTTATTGTAAAATCTCTCTACGTATGATAATTATGTTCGATTTTTGTCAGTTTTTAGCATGTTGCAACCTACAACGCCTGTAGGCGAGTGGCTTTTACCAATCCTAGCGCAAACAAACACACACACATGCGTGCGTGAGCGCACACACAGACATCGGTGTACATGAATGGACATGCCTTAGAAGATAAAGCAGGTAGTCAAATATAAACATATTACATCAGATAGATTGGAAGAGATAAGAAGCCAAAAACAATGATGAAAAAATAAGAACTAACAAAATAGAATTATCAATGGACTGACGGGGAATCACTCGATTGATATAAAGAGATTTGTGTAGCTAGATAGATACGTACATATATACATAAATAGGAACAGGATTAGATAGATAGATACATAGATAGGATAGGATAGAATAGATAGATAGATAGATAGAACAGGAATAGATAGATAGATAGATAGATAGATGAATAGATAGATAGATAGATAGATAGATAGATAATGGGAACAGGAATAAATAGATAGATAGATAGATAGATAGATAGATAGATATATAGGAACAGGAATAAATAGATAGATAGATAGATAGATGAATAGATACAGGAATAGATAGATAGATAGATAGATAGATAGATAGATATTAACAGGAATAGATAGATAGATAGATGATGAATAGGAACAGGAATAGATAGATAGATAGATAGATAGATAGATAGATAGATAGATATAGGAACAGGAGTAGATAGATAGATAAGTAGATAGATAGATAGATAATAGGAACAGGGATAGATAGATAGATAGATAGATAGATAGATAGATAGATAACAGAATTGAAGAGAAATAGAAAGTTACAGTCAGACAAATACATATGGACATCTATCTGTCTCTGTCTATCTCTCCCCATCTGTTCAAATTTATTTATTTGTCTGTCGATCTGTCACTTTCTGTCTCCGATTTTGTTAGCATCTATCTATCTATGCCTACAGAATAGGAGTGGGTCATTCTATGATATATATATATAGATATGAAAAGTTTGAATTGACAAATATTGGATGAGTGTACATGTTCTCAGTGCCCTCTTTTTGAAAGCACTAGACTGGATACACGGAAGGAAAAAATCGATCTTTTTATATTAAAAAAAAAACTGAAAATATTTCCATATACTTCATGGGTAGCTGGGTTTGTCATCATCTTTTTTATGTGTACAAATAATAAATTAAAAATAATTGGAGGTGTGTCAGGTACACGCTGATTGGTTGATATGACACACCTACAGTTTTCCAGGTGTTACTTTATATGACTCACCAAATAATGACAACAAAAGCAGTCACTCCGAACAACAAAAAAAAAAAGGCTTCACGCTTTTTCTATTTTTAATTATAAATCTTTGTGTGAGATTAAATTTGTCTGGATGAACAAATACTTTTAAAAAAAAAAATACATTCTTTACATTCAGACGAATATCCTCATCTTTGTTGTTATTACCAACTTAACTTCTGTCCGAATTTCTGGGTTGATGAAATTATTTTTATTTACATTCAGACTAATATCCTCATCTTTGTTGTTATCAACTTAACTTCTGTACTAATTTCTGGGTTAAGATGTTATTATTGTTATCATTCAGACGAATATCGTCATTGTTGTTGTTGTTGTTATTAACTAAACTTCTGTCCGGATTTCTGGGTAGAGAAGTTATTATTATTTACATTCAGATGAATATCGTCATTTTTGTTGTTGTTATCAACTAAACTTCTGTCCGGATTTCTGGGTAAAAAAGTTATTATTATTTACATTCAGACGAATATCATCATTTTTGTTGTTGTTATCAACTAAACTTCTGTCCGGATTTCTGGGTAGAGAAGTTATTATTATTTACATTCAGACGAATATCGTCATTTTTGTTGTTGTTATCAACTAAACTTCTGTCCAGATTTCTGGGTAGAGAAGTTATTAATATTTACATTCAGCCGAATAGCTTCATCTTTGTTGTTATTATCAATTTCAGTCCGAATTTCTGGATTGAAAAGTTATTATTATTTACATTCAGACGAATATCCTCATCTTTGTTGCTATTATCACCTTAACTTCTGTCCGAATTTCTGTGCTGAGGAAATTTATTTAGATTTAGTCGATTGTCTGAATCTTTGTTATTGTCATCGCAACGTTTTAGTAATTTTATCCTACGACCATCTTCGACCCGAGTAAATTGCAGGGAATTTCCTACTGGACCCTTTATTTAATCCACGGAGCTTACTGTTCTCGATCTACTGTCGATATCCAGGAATATATATTCTTGTTCCTTCTCGAACAGCTCATTTATTGCTGACCTTGTTCCCACTGAGTCAAAATCTGTACCACCCAGTCCAGGGATTGAACTCACAGTTACCAAGTCACCAAACAGACGAACCGGCGTTTTAATCCTAAATGTATAGTAATTGCGAACTGGTAGTATAGTGCCTTAGATGATATAGTTCTGGTTGGTTGTTTTTTTGTTTGTTTTTTTAGTGATACAAGTTTTACTAATTAACCCATAGATGGGGAGAGAAGAGGTGAATTCATATCTTTCCCAAGTGTATTTGCCCGAAAATGAATATAACTAACCCAACTGGAATTGAAACTAGGCTCTCTAATTAAAAATTCTGAGCAATTATCTATTACCCACCCCGTACATGCAAGCTTACAGAACCTTGTATTGTCACTCATCTTGGTACTAACCAGGCTCGACTTTGCTTAACTTCGGTGATAGTACGGAAATCGGTGTTTCAACATGATCTAATCGTAAGCCTATTAGTTTTGTACCAATTTGATAAATTATGATACAAGTCTTACTAATTAATCCATAGTTGAGGGGACAAGTGGTGAATCCATACCTTTCCCAAGAGTATTTGAGCGTAAGTGAATCTAAACCAACTGGAATTGGAGCTCGGCTCTCCGATTAAAAATTTCGAGTCTTTATCAATTACACCACGCGCACATCCCAGCTTACAGTACCTATTATTCGGAAGCGGTCACACATCTAGGTACTGACCAAGTTCAACATTGCTTAACTTTTCCTAGAAAGAGGAACGTAGGTTAAATAAAGGTTACAGTTCTGTTTTCCCTGAAGGTTACCCGATTCGACAGAAGAAGATCGTAGGTTACGCCTGAAACGCTGTTGATAATAAGAATGTTGAGGAGCTAATGAAAATAATTTAAATAATTTAAATATTGATAACCACTCATCGTAGAAATCCTTACTCTCTCAGCATCTATCTAATATATATATATATATATATATATATATATATATATATATATATATATATATATATATAAAACAAAGATGTTTGTGTGTCTGTCTATCTGTGTGATACCTTTTCACTCGAGATCCATCCAATCGATTTTGAACAATCTTGGCACATACATTGTACAATATAATAGGTTCTTAGCATAAAATCGATAATTTTTTAAAATCAATAATCGATAAAGCTGACCAAAATCGATGAATTCAGCATTTTTCCTCCGAGTTTGTTCAAACTCGGTATGTAGGTTACTGACATCATGACGAGCTCAACGATACCTGCGTTTAGTGAAAAACGAAAAATCGATTTCAACACTAATCGATTTCAGCACAAATTTTAAACTAAAACCTCCCTCAATTTTCAAGCAATCTAACACAAACTTCACTCAATTGTAGCCAACAATATGTTGATTGTTTAACAGTCATTTAACTCGATAATTGAGTCCACTCATATAGTGAAAACCCGCGTAAATAGCCAAACCTGGCGATTTTTACTGTTTCCTTTCTTATTTTCCGTTGATATTTCAACAAATTTTCATCAAACTTAACAATTGCTTTATAAATGTATGCTTTTTTTACATCCCTGGTAGCACACTGAGAAATTGAATTTCAAAAACTCCAAAATAATTGTGGTCTGAAGTGAGTCTTAACACTTTATCTCCTTGACTAACTTCGATTGAATAAATACAGACTACTTTTGTTATCTCTGTAACTGCATTAATTCAAAATGTTTTTTTAATGAAAGTACTTTAAAGTAATTAGAGAAGATAGACTCTATTACATCTAAACATCATGCTGTTTTTGCTCCATTCTAATTGAACGCTTTTTCTGATCGACCAGCTGGGTATGGCTACTAGTAGTTTCATAATTTAAACTAGAACAGTCGACCCCAGTGAGCGAAATGAAGGGTTCAGTTCAACATTCCAACCACCTGAAGAAACAAAACATTGTGATAAACATGGCGACAAAGATGAGGACAATAGTCCAAATAATGTAAATAGTTTACTTTTTCAATAGTAATTTTCAATGTCTCTGCTTTTTTCATGCCCTACTTAAGTTTTGAAGCACAAAGAAATTGTTTAAATAATTGTGCAAAAGTTACTTTGTAATTGAAACTGAACATCTTGATAAATTGTTGAAAATACTTGAATAACTGACATCTCCTTTTCTTCAATTACTTTCTATCTTTCCTTGCCTTGTTTTATAGTTTAATAATTTAAACTTATCACCAATCATCTTTGATAAGTGTTGATCAATAAGCTGGCGATTTAAAAGGATTTACACCATTTTTTTATCTATTTCAACAGTAATTTTCAACATACCTCAGTTTCTTCATGTTACCCATAAGTTTGGAGAAATTGCCCCCCCACCCATTTGAACCTTCACAGATTCATATCTTCATTTGAACCTTTACATACTTAGATAACAAATAAGGACTTTGAAGTAATGTTATTTAAAACCTGTGAATTCCCACTGTTTTCTTGACCTAGAAAGGCCAAGAAAAACAAAAAAGAGGTATTAGTGCTAAAGGTTCTCCTTATGTTCAAAGGTATTGGACATGGCATGTTGCTGTGAAAAGTGAAGAAAACTTGTTGATCACTCAAATGGTGATATTTAAAGGAAAAAAAAATTCAAAGTAATTTTTAATTGATTCATTTTCTATGGCTTATCAACCCTTTACAGGTTATTTAAAAGCCAGAAAATATTTTTAGATTGTAAATAAAGTTTTTTTTTTAGATAATAATGATTTAGTGATACAAGTCTTACTAATTAATCCATAGCTGAGGGGAGAAGAGGTAAGTTCATACCTAATCAAAATTTGATAAAAAAATAAGAAATTATTTGGATATAAAGTAGGGGATCAATTTTATACTACAATCAATATATAAATTAATCCCTCACTTTGCGGCCACGCTAGTTTCTATATATTTATATCCCAGAGAATGTAAATTAATCTAAAAGACCTGCCTGTATAGCTAATCGGTATTTCATTGTTTGATTCATTTTCTACAGCTTCTTGCAGGTTATTTAAAGCCAGAAAATATTTTTATATTGTACGATTTTTTTTTTTTGAGATAATAATGATTTAGTGCTACAAGTCTTACTAATTAATCCATAACTGAGGGGAGAAGAGGTGAATTCATACCTAATCAGAATTTGATAAACAAATAAGTCCTCATCCTTTCTTCTATCACTCCTATCTAATCTTGCTCCAAATTTTCCGTAACCGCTGGCGTCCTAGTGGCTTCCCGCCTTGCTTGGGGTGAAACGCTTAAGAAAAAAAAAGAAAAGAAATTATTTGGATATAAACTGGGTGATCGATTCTATATTACAATCAATATATAAATTAATCCCTCACTTTGCGGCCATGGTAGTTTCTATATATTTATATTCGAGTGTATTATATATGGCATGTTGCTGTGAAAAGTGAAGAAAACTTGTTGATCACTCACATGGCGATATTTAAAGGAAAAGTTAAAAATAAAACGAGCGTGGTTTCTTTTGAACTTGAACAGTCAAGCAAAGTTATTCACTCTAACAAATTGAAAACTAGGTGTGTCGTATCAGCCAATCATTTTGAATCTGACACACCACT